TATAATCCTATACCCACAGTGGATCCAGAGGAAGGCAAAAAACCCAGCAAAGCATGATCCAATTTGCCCCTGCAGGGGAAAAAAATCCTTCCTGATCCCCTGAGAGGCAAGCATCAACTTTACCTATAAATGGTAGTAACCAGTTATATTCTGTGTATCCAAGAAAGAATCCAGGCCTTTTTTAAAGCAATCCACTGAGCTGGCCAGAACCAACTCTTGAGGGAGTCTATTCCACATTTTCACAGCTCTTACTGTGAAGAAACCTTTCCGTACTTGCAGACGTAAAGAGTGCCCCCTTGTCCTCTGTGATGACCTCAAGGTGAATAACTGTACACTGAGTTCATTATATGAACCACTGATGTATTCATATATGTTGATCATATCCCCCTTAATCTCCTCTTCTCAAGAGAGAATAAATTCAGTTCCTCTAATCTTTCCTCATAGCTGAGCTCCTCCATGCCTCTTATCAGTTTGGTTTCCCTTCTCTGTACTTTCTCCAGTTCCCCAATGTTCTTTTTGTGAATTAGCGCCTAACACTGAACTGCATATTCCATATGAGGTCTTACTAATGATTTGTACAGGGGTAAAATGATATCTCTCTCTCTGAAGTCTATATCTCTTTTAATACAAGAGAGGATTTTGCTCGCTTTAGAAACCACAGCTTGGCACTGCATGTCATTATTAAGTTTGTGATCTACCAGAACTCCCAGATCCTTCTCCACCACTGATTCCCCCAGTTTTACCCCCCCAGTATGTATAATGCATACATATTCCTAGCCCCCCAAGTGCATAACCTTACATTTATCAACATTAAACCTCATTTGCCATATATTTGCCTAATTAAACAGTGCATTGAGGTCAGTTTGTAAATTGGAGACATCCTGTATTCCACTGCACAGCTTGGTGTCATCTGCAAAGATTGAAACAGTATTTTTAATCCTATATCATTTATAAATATATAAAAAGTAAGGGTCCCAACACTGAACCTTAGGGTACACCACTGACAACCCTAGACCATGCAGAGTATGAATCATTAACCACTGCTTTCTGAATTTGGTCTTTTAGCCAGTTTTCTATCCATTTTCATACTGATTTTTCCAAGCCTGTAGACTTTACCTTACACATTAGCCGTGTGTGGGGAATTATGTCAAATGTACCACATCCACAGCCACCCCTCTGTTCAAAGTTTTGCTCACCTCCTCATAAACAGAAAAAAGAAGTGCTGATGGGCACGGAAGGGCACTGATGGGCAGTGAAGGGCACTGATGGGCACAGTAGGGCACTGCAGAGCTGTGTAAAGCAATGCAAGCTGTTGTATCTAATTGACAGGATCCGATTGCTCTCCTTCCCTCACACTCGGTGTCAGTGTGAGGGATAGAGATCTCTCACACTGGTGGTGACCCTGCTTTGTTTACAATTATGACCGCTTGTCATTGGACATAGCGATCACGTGGTAAAGGGCCACTTTGATTGGTCCTTTATCCTGATCCATGATGCGCTGTGTACAAGGGATACACATCATGCATACTTCTGGATGCATGCTCCAGGGAGCACGTGAGAAGCGTGGTCACGAGAGGACATCAATGGACACCCTCCCAGAACTGGGAGACCGCGCTGTAGCTATCATTTGGCTATAGCACAGTCACCAAATGGTTAAAGGATCAGTCCATCCAAAAGTAATATATTAGTTTTAGTGGATGCTAGAGGGTTACACTTGCTGGAGGGTTAATCTTGTTGACTGATTGGGAAAATCTCACAATTCAGCCACCTGCTGTGGCCATTGTGAGGGGTTTTCCACTCTCTATGTTGAATCTTATATACTACAACATGTAAAGGTGGGCAGGAACACTTGAATCTCCAGAGTTGGCAAAAAGAGAGAGGAAATTGGGCAAGGAGTTCTCCCTATTGCAGTGTTCAAGACATATCACTTTTGAAAATACCAACCAATTAAAATACTTAAACACAAGTTTTTCAAGGAGGAATTGTCATGGTCTAGCCTGCAGATGTTGGATTCCTCTATAGATGATTCTGCCCTACGTTTGGTGAAATTCTTTCTTCAGACATTTTCTCTCAAGGCTGGCTCTAAATGGGTGGGAAGGTCTCGTAAGAGGAGGGGCATTGTCTAGCTTGCAGATTTCTGTTTTGGAAATTATTACCTCCTTGCTGCAGTGGCTCTGCTAGATCTGTGATTTCATTCACATGTGTTGCTGGCATCTCTGCTCACCTATAGGCATTGCCTGCTGTATTGTGGATTTATATCCTTTTCCCTTCTATCACTTCCTGGGTTGCCTCCCAATTTGCTTTGATATAGATCCACCTTGCCTGATCAACTGTTTGCTTACTACTAATGTGTATCTGTGTTTGACTACCTGTGTACTGATCCTTGTCTCTTGGATTTCCCTTTGTCATCTGCTGTTCGTACTCTGCACACATGAGTAGTCTCCATGTCCTCAGCTGTGCATACCTGGGGGGCGTGACCTGGTCCCAGCTTGCTGCACGTCCATCCCCACCATCGGGGACCCTGGTGAAGAAGCAGACTTGGGTTTAGACTCCATGCTTTGGAGAACCCCAAGTTGGTGATCTACAAATGATCACTACCACAGAGGCTTGACAGGACTAAATACCCCACAACTTAAGGGCAATGCAATGTAATTTTTCAGTATATAGTTAGTGGCCTTTTTGGCTACCAGGTCTTACATTTAACATAATAATTTAGGGGTCCAATCACACCTATGTGCAATAAACCATATACAGATTAGTGTGCTGGGGTACCAACATAGTGCTTCTAAAGCTAAAACATGTTTTTACCTTAATACATGCATTCAGGTAAGAAACATTTTACAACTTTCTGTGCCCCCCCATCTCCCTAAATACTTACCCCAAGTCCTCAATCGATCCAGCACTGTGCACAGCTACATCCCTACTCTCCCTCTACTCACAGTGACAGAGGCTGCAGTGGTGGCCATTGGCTCCTGCGGTTGTCAGTCAAATGCTGTTAGGAGGAAGCCTCTAGAACCGCTTTAATCTTGTTCCTTTAGATGTTACTATATATCACAGTGGGCAACACAGTGGCTAAATGGTTAGCACTTCCACCTGGCAGTACTGGGGTTGTTGGTTCGAATCCTAGCTATGGGACCTCCTGCCTGGAGCTTGCATGTTCTCCCTGTGCCTGCGTGGGTTTCCTCTGGGTACTCCGGTTTCCTCCCACACTCCAATGACATGCTGGTAGGTTAATTGGATCCTGTCTAAATTGGCCCTTGTATATGAATGTGAGTTAGGGACCTTAGATTGTATGCCCCTTGAGGGTTAGGGACTGATGTGAATGTACAGTATATATGTAAAAGCGCTGCGTAAATTGACAGCGCTATATAAGTACCTGAAATAAATAGATAAATAAGATCACCTAAAGAAAAATGCTAGATTATCATCATAAATGCTTATAATTTGTTGTTTATAATGTGGTTACTAGCTATGGAGATTTGATCATTTCTGGTTTCTCCTATTTAGTTTGTAAGGTTTTGCTTACGTGGGCTTCAGCTTGTAAAAAAGCAGTGTATACAGAAAGCTTTTACAAGTTATTTCCAAAACTAATGTCAATTTTATTGAAGATTTAAAGCTATCTTCAGCTTTAGTTCCAGAGTATTAAATTGAGATTTAAATGGTGCTGACTGCCATTTAAAGAAGAAATAAAGTCACTTAGCTCTTTTCTAATGGTCCAATGCCCGTGAGGGTTCCATGTCAGTACTGGCATCTTCTCCCTGGGTGCCAGTCTTTGGGCATAATGTAACTCCTGTGCATGCAATGAAGTCAGTAATCTCGGCACACAGGGCCCAGCAATGTAAGCTGAGTTGCACGTGTGCAGCTCAGTTTACATGCCCTACAAGACTGCGAGCAGGCAGGTAGGTATATTTTATTGCAAAAGAGACATTGTCTCTTTTGCAATAAATAGCCTGCCCGTTCACATGTTTTTGTAATGTGAGATGGAGAAACAGCTCTCATTGTTTGAACACTGTTTGTGTGCAGTAAATTATTGTGTGGAGTAAATTAATGTTTTGACTGACATTCTGTGGTTTAGCCACAAGATGTCACTGTTTTTCTAACACAGACTCAGACTGCATAGATATTTGTATATTCATGAAGAGGTGGGGTTTACACACAGAGTTGGGGTTTTTAGTGAACAGGAAGAGGAGACTGCAGCCATGTTTTGGACGATGCTGAATGCAGGGGCCGTGTGAGCTGAGAATCCGATGACATCCAGTGTGTGAAAGCGTCCCTCACTAACCAGTGATTGCTGCCAGGAGGGCTGATGAGAGCAGAGGAACTAAGCAACAGTTCTGTTCAGAGTCACCAGCTGATGCAAAGCAGACCCGGGTCATTAAGATCGTGCACGCACCTCATTTCAGTGTTGGCGCCCAGAGACTGAGTCCAGACCGATAGTTAGTTAGGGTCTCTGTTTGTGTCAGGCCGCAATTGTTGTTACTGATTATTGGAAGGACTCCACCACTCAAAGTGACATTTCACATTGGAGAACTGATAAAATCCTACAAACTCAAGCCAGACTGGCGTTTTGCTCAGAAGGAATACTCAAGCAAGTGCTACAGGTCCAGTTATGGGAGAGGGAATACTGTAGATTTGTGTAAGATTGTAAGTAGAGATGAGCGAAGTATTCAAAAATTCGATTCGACTGATTCGGCGAATTCGTGGACAATATTCGATTCGAGTCGAATATATTCGCTGTGAATTTACCTTAAAAAAGGGTGTTTTCTAGGCTTCAGAGAGACTTAATATTAGTGCAGAACACTGTACCTTTAATTTAAATGCCCTTGGAGTCTGCTGGGGAAGAGAAATAATACTGTCAGTCAGTATGACATGCAGATGAGTGCCGTCGATCTTAGAATCACCGCACACTTCACTCATTTGGCCAGTCATGGGGCCAAAACCAGTGTTTGGAGCCACAGTGTGGCGGTGGAGGCAGCAGCAATGGGAGGCCATACAGCAACCTATGACAAAATGGAAACCAGCAGGAGTGTGAGGAGACCTCAAAGTGGCACATGGCAGAGTGGGAGCAATGGGAGGCGGTACAGGGACCCATGTCACACTGTGGACCCAGCAGCAGCGTGACGAGGCGGTACGTGGGCCCATGGCAGATTTGGGGCCTGGCAGCACCTATGGGAGGCCTATAATCTGCCAGCAACCTCAGGGACCCATGTCACACTGTGGACCCAGCAGCAGCGTGACCAGGCGGTATGGGGGCCCATGGCAGATTACAGGCCTGGCAGCAGCAATGGGAGGCCCGTAATCTGTCAGCACCCTATGACAAAAAATGGAACACACCAGCAGTGTGTGAGGAGACCTGAAAGTGGCACATGGCAGAGTGTGGCGATGGAGACAGCAGCAATGGGAGGCCGTACAGGGACCCATGAGAGACTCTGGACCTGGCAGCAGCATGAGGAGGCGGTATAGGGGCCCATGGCAGATTAGGGGCCTGGCAGCAGCTATAGGAGGCCCGTAATCTGCCAGCACCCTATGACAAAAAATTCAACACACCAGCAGTGTGTGAGGAGACCTGAAAGTGGCACATGGCAGAGTGTGGCGATGGAGACAGCAGCAATGGGAGGCCGTACAGGGACCCATGACAGACTCTGGACCTGGCAGCAGCAGCATGAGGAGGCGGTATATAGGGGCCCATGGCAGATTAGGGGCCTGGCAGCAGCTATGGGAGGCCCGTAATCTGCCAGCACCCTATGTCAAAAAATTCAACACACCAGCAGTGTGTGAGGAGACCTGAAAGTGGCACATGGCAGAGTGTGGCGATGGAGACAGCAGCAATGGGAGGCCGTACAGGGACCCATGACAGACTCTGGACTTGGCAGCAGCATGAGGAGGCGGTATATAGGGGCCCATGGCAGATTAGGGGCCTGGCAGCAGCTATGGGAGGCCCGTAATCTGCCAGCACCCTATGTCAAAAAATTCAACACACCAGCAGTGTGTGAGGAGACCTGAAAGTGGCACATGGCAGAGTGTGGCGATGGAGACAGCAGCAATGGGAGGCCGTACAGGGACCCATGACAGACTCTGGACCTGGCAGCAGCATGAGGTATAGGGGCCCATGGCAGATTAGGGGCCTGGCAGCAGCTATGGGGAGGCCCGTAATCTGCCAGCACCCTATGTCAAAAAAAATTCACACACACCAGCAGTGTGTGTGAGGAGACCTGAAAGTGGCACATGGCAGAGTGTGGCGATGGAGACAGCAGCAATGGGAGGCCGTACAGGGACCCATGACAGACTCTGGACCTGGCAGCAGCATGAGGAGGCGGTATATAGGGGCCCATGGCAGATTAGGGGCCTGGCAGCAGCTATGGGAGGCCCGTAATCTGCCAGCACCCTATGTCAAAAAATTCAACACACCAGCAGTGTGTGAGGAGACCTGAAAGTGGCACATGGCAGAGTGTGGCGATGGAGACAGCAGCAATGGGAGGCCGTACAGGGACCCATGAGAGACTCTGGACTGGCAGCAGCATGAGGAGGCGGTATAGGGGCCCATGGCAGATTAGGGGGCCTGGCAGCAGCTATGGGAGGCCCGTACTGCCAGCACCCTATGTCAAAAAATTCAACACACACCAGCAGTGTGAGGAGACCTGAAAGTGGCACATGGCAGAGTGTGGCGATGGAGACAGCAGCAATGGGAGGCCGTACAGGGACCCATGAGAGACTCTGGACTTGGCAGCAGCATGAGGAGGCGGTATAGGGGCCCATGGCAGATTAGGGGCCTGGCAGCAGCTATGGGAGGCCCGTAATCTGCCAGCACCCTATGACAAAAAATGGAACACACCAGCAGTGTGAGGAGACCTGAAAGTGGCACATGTTTGGGGCATGATTCATGGCGGATTTAGTCAGTTGTGTCAGGAACTGGTGGTTTGAAATCCAGACTAATCCACGCCTGATTCATTTTCACAAACGTGAGTCTCTCCACACTTTGGGTGGACAGTCGTGTCCTCCGCGGAGTTGCAATACCTCCTGCCGCACTAAACACGCGCTCCGATGCCACGCTACTGGCCGGGCATGACAGCCTTTCAAGGGCAAATTCAGCTAGTTGGGGCCAAAGGTCAAGTTTCGTTGCCCAGTAGTCAAGGGGATTGTCTACCTCGGTTGGCAGGGTGCTGTCCAAGTAGGCCTAAGCCTGTTGTTTGAGGTCCTGCTCCAGGTCCACCTGATGATGCTGCTGCTGCTGCTGCTGCGGCTGGTTATTAGTTTCCTCACTGCGCTGGTGAAGAAAGCTACTCATCATCGACTGCAGACTGAGGCAGCTGCTGCTGGTGGAGCTGCCACTGCTCCTACCACCCCACCCCTCCCCTGCTGCCATGGCAGCGAACGCGAGCGCACAGGGCCCACAGTGTCTGAGGATGGACGTTGGCGCAGACAGGCAGAGACCAGCTGACTACATAGGTGGTTTTTATAGTACGTTATTTTGGCCTCCCTCTCAGCAGGTGTGAAAAAGGCCACCATTTTTGAACGGTAGCGAGGGTCCAACAAGGTGGACAGCCAAAAGTCATCCCTCTGTCTGATGGTTGATGGTTATTATTCGGCTGTCGCTACGCAAGCAAGCGAGCATGCTATGGGCCATTTGTGCCAAGGAATGCGAGGGACTCCCTGCCTCCATCTCCACAGCATACTGCCACGGTGCGTCTGGGTCCTCTGTCTCCTCCTCCTCCTCCTCTACCAGATGCTCCTGCTCCTCCACTCCTGTCCGCTGAGTGGAAAAACCACCCATTTCACTCAATAATTCCTGAGCACCAATGTCCTCCTCTACCTCCTCCTCTTCTTCCTGTCCTGCCCCCACAGGGGTCATGTGGCGTTGAGATCTGTGCGCCACGTCTACCGCACCCTGACCAGCCATTGTTTAACAGCATTTGTTCCAGGACGTGCAACAGAGGAATGACGTCGTTCATCCCATAGTCCTGCCGACTCACGAATAGCGTGGCCTCCTCAAAGGGCCTGAGCAAGCGCAGGTGTCACGCATGAGCTGCCAATGGCTGACATCTAAGTTACACAGGGAGTACCTTTATCCGCTTTTAACATCAGAAATCTGTGATGGCCTTTTGCTGTTCGTAAAGGCGGTCTAACATATGTAGGGTTTGAATTCCACCTTGTTTGCAACGTCACAGCATGAGGAGTCGGTACGGGGGCCCATGGCAGATTACGGGCCTGGCAGCAGCAATGGGAGGCCCGTAATCTGCCAGCACCCTATGTCAAAAAATTCAACACACCAGCAGTGTGTGAGGAGACCTGAAAGTGGCACATGGCAGAGTGTGGCGATGGAGACAGCAGCAATGGGAGGCCGTACAGGGACCCATGAGAGACTCTGGACTGGCAGCAGCATGAGGAGGCGGTATATAGGGGCCCATGGCAGATTAGGGGCCTGGCAGCAGCTATGGGAGGCCCGTAATCTGCCAGCACCCTATGTCAAAAAATTCAACACACCAGCAGTGTGAGAGACCTGAAAGTGGCACATGGCAGAGTGTGGCGATGGAGACAGCAGCAATGGGAGGCCTACAGGGACCCATGAGACCTGGCAGCAGCAGCATGAGGAGGCGGTATAGGGGCCCATGGCAGATTAGGGGCCTGGCAGCAGCTATGGGAGGCCCGTAATCTGCCAGCACCCTATGTCAAAAAATTCAACACACCAGCAGTGTGTGAGGAGACCTGAAAGTGGCACATGGCAGAGTGTGGCGATGGAGACAGCAGCAATGGGAGGCCGTACAGGGACCCATGACAGAGACTCTGGACTTGGCAGCAGCATGAGGAGGCGGTATATAGGGGCCCATGGCAGATTAGGGGCCTGGCAGCAGCTATGGGAGGCCCGTAATCTGCCAGCACCCTATGTCAAAAAATTCAACACACCAGCAGTGTGTGAGGAGACCTGAAAGTGGCACATGGCAGAGTGTGGCGATGGAGACAGCAGCAATGGGAGGCCGTACAGGGACCCATGAGAGACTCTGGACCTGGCAGCAGCATGAGGAGGCGGTATATAGGGGCCCATGGCAGATTAGGGGCCTGGCAGCAGCTATGGGAGGCCCGTAATCTGCCAGCACCCTATGTCAAAAAATTGAACACACAGTGTGTGAGGAGACCTGAAAGTGGCACATGGCATGGAGTGGCGATGGACAGCAGCAATGGGAGGCCGACAGTGACCCCATAGACAGACTCTGGCAGCAGCAGCAGGAGGAGGCGGTACAGGGGCCCATGGCAGATTAGGGGCCTGGCAGCAGCTATGGGAGGCCCGTAATCTGCCAGCACCCTATGTCAAAAATTCAACACACCAGCAGTGGTGAGAGACCTGAAAGTGGCACATGGCAGAGTGTGGCGATGGAGACAGCAGCAATGGGAGAGGCCGTACAGGGACCCATGCAGACTCTGGACCTGGCAGCAGCATGAGGAGGCCCTATAGGGGCCCATGGCAGATTAGGGGCCTGCAGCAGCAGCTATGGGAGGCCCGTAATCTGCCAGCACCCTATGTCAAAAAATTCAACACACCAGCAGTGTGAGGAGACCTGAAAGTGGCACATGGCAGAGTGTGGCGATGGAGACAGCAGCAATGGGAGGCCGTACAGGGACCCATGATGAGAGACTCTGGACCTGGCAGCAGCATGAGGAGGCGGTATATAGGGGCCCATGGCAGATTAGGGGCCTGGCAGCAGCTATGGGAGGCCCGTAATCTGCCAGCACCCTATGTCAAAAAATCAACACACCAGCAGTGTGTGAGGAGACCTGAAAGTGGCACATGGCAGAGTGTGGCGATGGAGACAGCAGCAATGGGAGGCCGTACAGGGACCCATGAGAGACTCTGGACTGGCAGCAGCATGAGGAGGCGGGTATAGGGGCCCATGGCAGATTAGGGGCCTGGCAGCAGCTATGGGAGGCCCGTAATCTGCCAGCACCCTATGTCAAAAAAAATTCAACACACCAGCAGTGTGTGTGAGGAGACCTGAAAGTGGCACATGGCAGAGTGTGGCGATGGAGACAGCAGCAATGGGAGGCCGTACAGGGACCCATGAGAGACTCTGGACCTGGCAGCAGCATGAGGAGGCGGTATAGGGGCCCATGGCAGATTAGGGGCCTGGCAGCAGCTATGGGAGGCCCGTAATCTGCCAGCACCCTATGTCAAAAAATTCAACACACCAGCAGTGTGTGAGGAGACCTGAAAGTGGCACATGGCAGAGTGTGGCGATGGAGACAGCAGCAATGGGAGGCCGTACAGGGGACCCATGAGAGACTCTGGACCTGGCAGCAGCATGAGGAGGGTATATAGGGGCCCATGGCAGATTAGGGGCCTGGCAGCAGCTATGGGAGGCCCGTAATCTGCCAGCACCCTATGTCAAAAAATTCAACACACCAGCAGTGTGTGAGGAGACCTGAAAGTGGCACATGGCAGAGTGTGGCGATGGAGACAGCAGCAATGGGAGGCCGTACAGGGACCCATGACAGACTCTGGACTTGCAGCAGCAGCATGAGGAGGCGGTATATAGGGGCCCATGGCAGATTAGGGGCCTGGCAGCAGCTATGGGAGGCCCGTAATCTGCCAGCACCCTATGTCAAAAAATTCAAACACACCAGCAGTGTGTGAGGAGACCTGAAAAAGTGGCACATGGCAGAGTGTGGCGATGGAGACAGCAGCAATGGGAGGCCGTACAGGGACCCATGAGAGACTCTGGACTGGCAGCAGCATGAGGAGGCGGTATAGGGGCCCATGGCAGATTAGGGGCTGGCAGCAGCTATGGGAGGCCCGTAATCTGCCAGCACCCTATGTCAAAAAATTGAACACACCAGCAGTGTGTGAGGAGACCTGAAAGTGGCACATGGCAGAGAGTGGCGATGGAGACAGCAGCAATGGGAGGCCGTACAGGGACCCATGAGAGACTCTGGACTTGGCAGCAGCATGAGGAGGCGGTATAGGGGCCCATGGCAGATTAGGGGCCTGGCAGCAGCTATGGGAGGCCCGTAATCTGCCAGCACCCTATGTCAAAAAATTGGGGCCATGGCACACACCAGCAGTGTGTGAGGAGACCTGAAGTGGCACATGGCAGAGTGTGGCCAACACCCCACCAGCAGCAATGGGAGGCCGTACAATAGGACATGGCATGAGAGACCTCTGGACCTGGCAGCAGCATGAGGAGGCGGTATATAGGGGCCCATGGCAGATTAGGGGCCTGGCAGCAGCTATGGGAGGCCCGTAATCTGCCAGCACCCTATGGCACACACTACTGGCCGTGTGGTACACACCTGCAGTGAGAGCTGTGTGACTCCGTGGCCATTTGCCTCCACTGACATGCTGCTGAAAGTGGCACACTGCTGCAGAGTCCTGGAGACAGCAGCAATGGGAGGCCGTACATGGACCCATGACAGACTCTGGACCTGGCAGCAGCATGAGGAGGCGGTATAGGGGCCCATGGCAGATTAGGGGCCTGGCAGCAGCTATGGGAGGCCCGTAATCTGCCAGCACCCTATGTCAAAAAAAACACACAGCAGCAGTGTGTGAGGAGACCTGAAAGTGGCACATGGCAGAGTGTGGCGATGGAGACAGCAGCAATGGGAGGCCGTACAGGGACCCCCATGAGAGACTCTGGACCTGGCAGCAGCATGAGGAGGCGGTATATAGGGGCCCATGGCAGATTAGGGGCCTGGCAGCAGCTATGGGAGGCCCGTAATCTGCCAGCACCCTATGTCAAAAAAATTCAACACACCAGCAGTGTGTGAGGAGACCTGAAAGTGGCACATGGCAGAGTGTGGCGATGGAGACAGCAGCAATGGGAGGCCGTACAGGGACCCATGAGAGACTCTGGACCTGGCAGCAGCATGAGGAGGCGGTATAGGGGCCCATGGCAGATTAGGGGCCTGGCAGCAGCTATGGGAGGCCCGTAATCTGCCAGCACCCTATGTCAAAAAATTCAACACACCAGCAGTGTGTGAGGAGACCTGAAAGTGGCACATGGCAGAGTGTGGCGATGGGAGACAGCAGCAATGGGAGGCCGTACAGGGACCCATGAGAGACTCTGGACCTGGCAGCAGCATGAGGAGGCGGTATAGGGGCCCATGGCAGATTAGGGGCCTGGCAGCAGCTATGGGAGGCCCGTAATCTGCCAGCACCCTATGTCAAAAAATTCAACACACCAGCAGTGTGAGGAGACCTGAAAGTGGCACATGGCAGAGTGTGGGCGATGGAGACAGCAGCAATGGGAGGCCGTACAGGGACCCATGAGAGACTCTGGACCTGGCAGCAGCATGGAGGAGGAGGAGGCGGTATAGGGGCCCATGGCAGATTAGGGGCCTGGCAGCAGCTATGGGAGGCCCGTAATCTGCCAGCACCCTATGACAAAAAATGGAACACACCAGCAGTGTGTGTGAGGAGACCTGAAAGTGGCACATGGCAGAGTGTGGCGATGGAGACAACCCACCGACTGTTTTGCTCGCTGCCAAGCTGCCACCCTCTTCTCCTGATGATGCGGAAGCAATAGCCTGATGACGACGAGGCTGCCAAGTGCGATCAGCCTCATCATCATCAATTAGGGTCTCCGCCTCACTACTAGCCCCCTCGGCTGCGTGTGGGTCAGGAGACAGACCTGTCTCTACACCGGCTACCGAGCCACTCTCCTCGCCACTACTTCTTCGCCTGGCTGCTGAAGAGGCGGATGTCTCCCCCCGTTCCTGACCGCCCTCTGTTAGCTCTTCCTCACTGTACTGGATGACACCCGGGAGCACTAGCCTCTGGCTGCGAATAGTGCTGCCTCGACCCCTTCCTCTGCTGCCACGTCTGCTCGCTCCTAAAACATTGCCTCCTCTGCCACTCCTCTGCATGTTGTCTGACATACTCTTTAATTAAACGATTCTGTGTCCCTGAGTAACAATTCTGTGTCCCTGAGTAACAATTCTGTGTCCCCTGAGTAACAGTTTCTGTGGCCCTAAGTAACAGTTCTGTGGCCCTCAGTAACAATTCTGTGTCCCTCAGTAACAATTCTGTGTCCCTCAGTAACAATTCTGTGTCCCTCAGTAACAATTCTGTGTCTGTCCCTGAGTAACAATTCTGTGTCTGTCCCTGAGTAACAATTCTGTGTCCCTGAGTAACGTTTCTGTGGCCCTAAGTAACAATTCTGTGGCCCAGTAACAGTGAGTAAACAATTCTGTGTCCCTGAGTAACAATTCTGTCTCCCTGAGTAACAATTCTGTGTCCCTCAGTAACAATTCTGTCCCCAGTAACAATTAAGTAACAATTCTGTGTCCCTCAGTAACAATTCTGTGTCCCTCAGTAACAATTCTGTGTCCCTGAGTAACAATTCTGTGTCCCTCAGTAACAATCTGTGTCCCTCAGTAACAATTCTGTGTCCCTGAGTAACAATTCTGTGTCTGTCCCTGAGTAACAATTCTGTGTCTGTCCCTGAGTAACGTTTCTGTGGCCCTAAGTAACGTTTCTGTGGCCCTCAGTAACAATTCTGTGTGCCCCTGAGTAACAATTCTGTGTCTGTCCCTGAGTAACAATTCTGTGTCTGCCCTAAGTAACAATTCTGTGGCCCTCAGTAACAATTCTGTGTCCCTGAGTAACAATTCTGTGGCCCTAAGTAACAATTCTGTGGCCCTCAGTAACAATTCTGTGTGTCCCTGAGTAACAATTCTGTGAGTAACAATTCTGTGTCTGTCCCTGAGTAACAATTCTGTGGCCCTAAGTAACGGTTCTGTGGCCCTCAGTAACAATTCTGTGTCCCTCAGAGTAACACAATTCTGTGTCTGTCCCTGAGTAACAATTCTGTGTCTGTCCCTGAGTAACAATTCTGTGGCCCTAAGTAACGGTTCTGTGTCCCTCAGTAACAATTCTGTGTCCCTGAGTAACGTTTCTGTGGCCCTAAGTAACAATTCTGTGGCCCTCAGTAACAATTCTGTGTCTGTCCCTGAGTAACAATTCTGTGTGGCCCTAAGTAATGGTTCTGTGGCCCTCAGTAACAATTCTGTGTCCCTGAGTAAACGTTTCTGTGGCCCTAAGTAACAATTCTGTGGCCCCTCAGTAACAATTCTGTGTGTCTGTCCCTGAGTAACAATTCTGTGGCCCTAAGTAACGGTTCTGTGGCCCTCAGTAACAATTCTGTGTCCCTGAGTAACAATTCTGTGCCCTAAGTAACAATTCTGTGGCCCTAAGTAACAGTTCTGTGTGGCCCTCAGTAACAATTCTGTGTCCCTCAGTAACAATTCTGTGTCCCTCAGTAACAATTCTGTGTCCCTCCCTCAGTAACAGTAACTGTGTCTGTCCCTGAGTAACGTTTCTGTGGCCCTAAGTAACGGTTCTGTGGCCCTCAGTAACAATTCTGTGTCCCTGAGTAACATTTGTGTGTCTGTGTCTGTGTCCCTGAGTAACAATTCTGTGGCCCTAAGTAATGGTTCTGTGCCCTCAGTAACAATTCTGTCTGTCCCTGAGTAACAATTCTGTGTCTGTCCCTGAGTAACAATTTTCTGTGGCCCTAAGTAACGGTTCTGTGGCCCTCAGTAACAATTCTGTGTCCCTGAGTAACAATTGTGGCCCTAAGTAACAATTCTGTGGCCCTCAGTAACAATTCTGTGTCCCTGAGTAACAATTCTGTGTCTGTCCCTGAGTAACAATTCTGTGGCCCTAAGTAACAATTCTGTGGCCCTCAGTAACAATTCTGTGTCCCTCAGTAACAATTCTGTGTCTGTCCCTGAGTAACAATTCTGTGGCCCTAAGTAAACGGTTCTGTGGCCCTCAGTAACAATTCTGTGTGTCCCTGAGTAACAATTCTGTGGCCCTAAGTAACAATTCTGTGGCCCTAAGTAACAATTCTGTGCCCCAGTAACAATGAGTGTCTGCCCTGAGTAACAATTCTGTGTCTGTCCCTGAGTAACAATTCTGTGGCCCTCAGTAACAATTCCCTCAGTAACAATTCTGTGCCCTCAGTAACAATTCTGTGTGTCCCTGAGTAACAATTCTGTGTCCCTCAGTAACAATTCTGTGGCCCTCAGTAACAATTCTGTGGCCCTGAGTAACAATTCTTCTGTGTCCCTGAGTAACAATTCTGTGGCCCTCAGTAACAATTCTGTGTCCCTGAGTAACAATTCTGTGTCTGTCCCTGAGTAACAATTCTGTGTCTTCCCTGAGTAAACGTTTCTGTGGCCCTAAGTAACGGTTCTGTGGCCCTCAGTAACAATTCTGTGTCCCTGAGTAACAATTCTGTGTCTGTCCCTGAGTAACAATTCTGTGGCCCTAAGTAACGGTTCTGTGGCCCTCAGTAACAATTCTGTGTCCCTGAGTAACAATTCTGTGGCCCTAAGTAACAAACGGTTCTGTGGCCCTCAGTAACAATTCTGTGTGTCCCTGAGTAACAATTCTGTGTCTGTCCCTGAGTAACAATTCTGTGGCCCTAAGTAACGGTTCTGTGGCCCTCAGTAACAATTCTGTGTCCCTCAGTAACAATTCTGTGTCTGTCCCTGAGTAACAATTCTGTGGCCCTAAGTAACGGTTCTGTGGCCCTCAGTAACAATTCTGTGTCCCTGAGTAACGTTTCTGTGGCCCTAAGTAACAATTCTGTGGCCCTCAGTAACAATTCTGTGTCTGTCCCTGAGTAACAATTCTGTGTCCCTAAGTAACAATTCTGTGGCCCCTAAGTAACGGTTTCTGTGGCCCTCAGTAACAATTCTGTGTCCCTAAGTAACGTTTCTGTGGCCCTAAGTAACAATTTCTGTGGCCCTAAGTAACAATTCTGTGGCCCTCAGTAACAATTCTGTGGCCCTCAGTAACAATTCTGTGTCCCCCAGTAACAATTCTCTGTGTCCCTCAGTAACAATTCTGTGTCTGTCCCTGAGTAACAATTTCTGTGCCCTGAGTAACAATTCTGTGTGCCCTAAGTAACATGTTTCTGTGGCCCTAAGTAACATCTGTGGCCCTCAGTAACAATTCTGTCTGTCCCTGAGTAACAATTCTGTGTCTGTCCCTGAGTAACGTTTCTGTGGCCCTAAGTAACGGTTCTGTGCCCTCAGTAACAATTTCTGTGTCCCTGAGTAACAATTCTGTGTCTGTCCCTGAGTAACAATTTCTGTGGCCCCCTCTGTAAGTAACAATTCTGTGGCCCTCAGTAACAAATTCTGTGTCCCTGAGTAACAATTCTGTGGCCCTAAGTAACGGTTCTGTGGCCCTCAGTAACAATTCTGTGTCCCTGAGTAACAATTCTGTGTCTGTCCCTGAGTAACAATTCTGTGGCCCTAAGTAACGGTTTCTGTGGCCCTCAGTAACAATTCTGTGTCCCTCAGTAACAATTCTGTGTCTGTCCCTGAGTAACAATTCTGTGGCCCTAAGTAACGGTTCTGTGGCCCTCAGTAACAATTCTGTGTCCCTGAGTAACGTTTCTGTGGCCCTAAGTAACAATTCTGTGGCCCTCAGTAACAATTCTGTCTGTCCCTGAGTAACAATTCTGTGTCCCTCAGTAACAATTCTGTGTCCCTCAGTAACAATTCTGTGTCCCTGAGTAACAATTCTGTGTCTGTCCCTGAGTAAGAATTCTGTGTCTGTCCCTGAGTAACGTTTCTGTGGCCCTAAGTAACGGTTCTGTGGCCCTCAGTAACAATTCTGTGTTCCTCTGAGTAACAATTCTGTGTCTGTCCCTGAGTAACAATTCTGTGGCCCTAAGTAACGGTTCTGTGGCCCTCAGTAACAATTCTGTGTCCCTGAGTAACGTTTCTGTGGCCCTAAGTAACGGTTCTGTGGCCCTCAGTAACAATTCTGTGTCCCTGAGTAACATTCTGTGTCTGTGTCCCTGAGTAACAATTCTGTGGCCCTAAGTAACGGTTCTGTGGCCCCTCAGTAACAATTCTGTGTCCCCTGAGTAA